ACCCTTTCTGACAGCCACTGCCAGCTGATCCAGTTTGTTTATCATTTTCGCTTTTCGATAGTCGTGATCGCAACTGCGAGCATATTCATAAGCAAGCCCATACATCTCACGAGTCTAGAACAACTCACATTTCTGGGTTTCATTATCCTAATTTCACCTTCCTTGTGCAACGATAAATTTAATGTTATCGCATCAGACGTCGATCCTTATGCACACCGCTCAGGCATTAATATCCCATGCTAACCACTAGCGATATGCTTATTGGACTGCTTCGTATTTATTCAAAACATAAGCAGCTCGAATAATTTTTCCTCTCAGTCCACATCCCGTGTGGACAGTGGATGCGAAAAGCTCGACTAGAACGATAAGGCTAAAATAATGACAGAAACAGGAACCGCCAATTCGTTTTTGGTAGTCTCTGTGACAAGCCCAGACACCACACTTGTAAACAGAACGCGTGGGTACGGAATGGGCTCACTCAAAAAGTACTTCCAAAACGAGCCAACGCCGAGAAATGCGATTGAGAGATTGCAGCTTGGATAATTTCCTTTGCTCGTTAATGTTCCAGTTAGTTGGGTCTTACAAACCAAAACGTTGAATGCATAAAACATTTAACCTATTGAATAACGCATATCGATAGAACGATGTTGTAATTGCATTTCAATAATAAGTGGGAAGGAATGAAAATCGCACTGATTTTTGGAGATTCAATCATTAAGAAATGAAAGAATCGCTAACGAATACGAACGACTTCAATGCGTAGAAATAACATAGAACTTCAATCAAATCCGATTAAATTGAATGACTTCTTCAATAATTTAAATATCTTCACTTAATTCGCTCCTTCTTCCTTCTTCATCTCTAACAATAACATTTTATCTACATGTTTATCAGCCAACCACCACTAATCGTTTTCTCAGCTTTTTTATTGCAAATTATTCGCTTGCCTACTAAATCATTCTCTCCTATACATGGGCAACCTACCTATAAAAAATCACGTTTTCGAAAAATTTTAAACCGTGTTAAATTCAATTATAATCCATCTATTCATCTACCCAAAACACATCATAATCCTCTGCTTATGCTATTACTTTTAACACTACTATTATTGTTGTCGTTGCAATCGTCCTCGGTCGCTCTCTACCACTCATACAAAATAAAATTTATTTTCAAATCATTATCATCTTCTTCACAATATTAACATTAAAAATGATATTCAAATGCCTAATCAATCATCAATACGTTATCTATTGTCATATCAATGACATAATTTCATTATCTTTACTGTTACTGTTAAGATTATTATTATCATTATGCTAAACAAGTGAATGTTAGGGCGATAACATGCGAACAACGACAACGTAATAATAATAATAATAAAAACCACCGTTAAGATGATAATGATAATAACAACAAAGACGGAATGACTAACGATGAGTTTTAGTTTTAAACTTCAAATTTTTGATTGAAAAAAGAACGAACTAAGTCGAGTTTTATGTGACTGGTGAATAATAATGACATTCTAATAACTGAATTAAAGTGCCAAATCATATATAAAACGTTTACATTACAATATATCAGATGACAAGATGAATGTATAATAAAAGAGGTTTATGAATAATGATTTGTCACGGTTGTCTGTTTTGATCGATGAAAAATTTATCTAAATTGTGATGAAATTAAACGAGAGATACCGAAGAGACAGTTAATATATTTTAACTATCGTTTATCAGTCGAACAAAAGCAACAAAAATCAATTGCTGACTAAATAAAAATTTTTGAAAAACTGTTTGATATTGAACGTCTCCATCGAATTTTTGTCACTTAAAAATTTCTAAACAATATTTAACAACGAATAAAGCTGAACAATATACAAAAAACCAACGTATCTTACACATTTCATTGTAGTGATAACGATAGCAAAAATGACAACGTAATAAAACAAAAACTGCAATTATTGTTTTGAATCAACGAATCAAATCAAATTGATAAGTGAAGTACAAGTAGAAATGAATGAACAAAAATTATTCTGGAATCCAGTCGCAAGAAGAGATAGTTTTGGCGAGATGAGATGCAGATTCATTCATTCATTTTTGATATCCTTTTTCATCTTCTTCATTACTGGTTCACACGTAGACGTTTCAGCAAGATGATTACGGCTTTGCGGTTGATGATGATAATTACTCTGAATTTATCTCAATAATAATAAAATTTTCATTGCACACAGACATGGTAGTTTCACTTGGAGTAAATCAATCAAACGTTTGCGAAGGAAGCACAGCTATGTGAAGGATAAAACAACGAACCGAGTAATCCTTTTGTATGAGCATATTGTTTCGTGTCTCGGAATATTTATTTACATACAGCCAAACGTTGCCTTTCATACAAGGAAGAAATTCTTTTACAGCTTTTATATACAAATTATAAACATTTCGACCAGCTTCAGCCACCTCATTATCCGGCTGAATAGGGAAGACGTGATATTATATAACAATCGCTTCATCTACACAAATAAAAGTTGGCAAGTGAGAAATAACCGGATTGAATGTTGAACAGTTCTCGAAAACCAAGTTCATCGAGTGAATGAACTGATGAACGTTCGTGAATGCATCTTTCGACTTCTCCCTCAAACGGCGTGCTATCGTAGCAAAATCCATTGGCTGCTTTATTATCACATAATAATTCGGTACTGTCTTTGGCACTGCGCGACTGAATGGTTCGGCTTGCAGAAAATTCTCGTAACATTTCAATAAAACTTTTGAACAAAGCTGAAAATAAATTTAGTTTATTCGTATTTCATTCAAGTAATAACAAATCAAATATCACTACCAATCTTTCTCGACTTCCCATAACGCCACTATTTTCAATCAATGGTGCAGCTGTCATACACGATGAACATGCCCATTCATCACTGTAACACAATCCATTTAAACATACTAGTGATTAGCAACAACGACAATAATAAGTTACGAAACGAACGGAAGTGATTCCATCGGTTGTTTGATGGGAGGTATGTGGCAGTAGTTATGGTAAACACGGGGGCATTTTGCACAACAGCCAAGCGATCCACTCCTCTCATCACAACCCTGTTGACAAACGTAACAATAATCATCCCACTTCGATGCCTCGTCTACTACTCGTGTTTCATTCTTGGACGCATCTTCACTCGACGAACAAGCAACTTCTGAAAGTGATGTTGATTAAAACGGTGAAAATGTGAGGATGAATTGCATACCTATCGCAGATTTATGCGAGACGTGTTCAGGATCATTGATTAAAGTGGCTGTTGATGGTGTTGTTGTGGTTGTTATTGTCGTTGCGTTGCTAAACCTTATTTTCACTTTCAATGCGGCATTCTTCAACGGCGCTGGATCTTTGGGTGGTGGCGAACTGTTACTGGAATGATGTTACTATGCAAACTGTTACTATGCAAGATCAAATCGTAATATTCAATGAAGAAGATCATGTGAGATAATATAATAATTGCTGTTAATAAAAATGAAACAGTTTTTGAAGTAAATGAGAGAAGTAAAGGTAGAAATGAAACCTTGCAACGCCGTTATTGTTATCCTCATTACTATTATTGTTGTTATTACTGCCATGAGCATTTTGATCACCAATAGTAGTATCGCGTTGATTATCTCCGACAGTTGTACGAAGAGAATGTTGACCATGGCCACCTTGCAAAGATGTAGACGGCTGCAGTTCATTTGACCGCTGCACGTCAAGCATTTTATTCGGTGATGAGATGAATTGATTCACTGAAATTAATTTATTGTCGAAATGAGCATTCATGCGAACAATATATCAAACGAAATCAGAACATTACATAATGAAAATGATTTGACATTGGTCAACACTTGCTTTCGAGCAAAAGTTTCCTCCGCAAACGAAGGAAAGTTTTGCTCTAAACCAAGTGGTGTACCAATGTCATTGGCCTGAGCCAAGCTATGATTTGGCTTGTATCTAATGTTATGATAATAACAGTAATAATCACTGACTATTCTGTTGATTACAGTCGAATTCCTCCATCAAAATACTTGCTGGAATGGGTGTTATAACTGGATTTGTTGAATCGACCGTACTGAGTTGTAGCATAGAATCGTTTTGAGTTGACTGACGGCTGATGACTGAATGAGGTTGTTGTTGAATGGCGTTCAGATGGCGAGGTTGTTGCTGGTAATGCGATAAACGAGTCGGTAGCATCACCTGAGGCGGATTACTCAACGGTGATCTTGCCATTCCACTATCAAGTGTGAACGGACAAGGGCCGATACGTGCTGATAAATACCTTGTTTCACCAGACGGCGCCACAACTCAAACAACACATTTATTATATGATAAATAAGAATAAAAATTATATATAATATTACCTGGTCGATTAGCATAATGATAAGGATTCGACTGGAGACGATACGCCGCAATATTTGGAGATATATTGAATGATGATGATTGTTGTAATTGTGGTGGGATAAAATTATTATTATTGTTATTATTATTGAAATTCGATGGATATCGCGACAATATTTTATTCGGAGACTGTGATAATGATGATGAAGATGGTGTATTTTGTTGTTCGTTTGGATTTATATTCGATTTTTTAAGCGTTTGACACTGATTCGCTTGTTGTTGTTGTTTCATTGACACCTTCATAGTAAATTGATTATGAATAAACATTTCCGTTTGTTCATCACGTTATGAATTAAAATTTAATGAACCTGTTTAATGAATGACCTAAAAAATGAAGGAGAGGGATAAGACCTGTTGAAACGTAAAATATATAAGATAGCACCTCTTGTGCAAGTTTAAATCGGTGTTGTTGAATAAAATGCATGTGCTGAGGATGCGTCAATGGGAAAGCGGTTGGCATTCGAATATGATCAGTTGATATATTGCTGCTATTCAATGAAGATGTTGCTGGTGAATTAAGGATGTTAGCGGATGTTGTTGGTAGCTGCACTGAAGGTGAGTGTCTGCATGAAGACTGCTTATCAATAACTGATTTTTGTTGAGATTGTGATAAGAAGGACATTGGTGTTACACTGTTGCTCGAATTGTTGATTCGAAACATTGGCACATCCAATAAATTTGATGTTGATGGTGTTGGTGGTACTTCGACCTTAATTTTAATTTCACTCATTTAAGAAAGGGAACAACTGCACGAACAATGATCGGATTACAAACAAACGTACCGCTTTCAATACTCCACTTTCACGTAAATCCGACAGAACACAACCCCACTGATTCAATGCATTCACAACACTTTCTGGGCTCGATTTCAGTTCCACTTGTGGTGCTCGTTGAAGTCCATTTACAGCACCCTTTAAGTCCATTCTTCTTTCATTCAAAAACATTTTTGCATTAATATCACCATAAAGACAATAGAAATAACATTACGTACCTCATTCAGAACTTTTTGCGTTTTTACAACTCGAATGCAGTTTTCGAGAAATTGTTTTGTTATTACCACCGCTACAGAATCTTTATAATCTCTTACTTCAGTGACAAATGCCTTTATCTAATAATTCATTCATTATATTTCAAAACCACTTGAATAAACACATGAAGATTCATCGAAGGAAAATGTTTTATCGGTTAATGATAATACTCTTGAATGAAACACATCAACAGTGAATAACACATTGTTTCCTTTAATTTCTTCACAGAGACATTAATAATAATCATAATAGTAATCATAATAACAATAATATCAAATAACCCATGTATTTCATACCCTTTCCAAGCGCAATTTCTGTCGTGAAAGTTGTTCTTGCAATTTATCATATTCCATTGTTTTACAACGCGTCACTGTGTCCAGCGCACGTAACAAATCGTTACCACGTCGCATCACCTTTAGAAAATAAATATTTTGTCAATTAATAATCAGTGAAATGGCAAAAGACCAACCGATTGACATATCTGAACAACTTGATTGCCTAATTCTTTCCTTAAATTGTGAACCGACTCATCCAACGCATTCCTACGGACTTGAATCAACGACAAACTGCAAACTGCTTCGTTTATTCAACATAAATTCCTTGACAAATAAAGAAACATAAATTAAGGAATGAGCAAATGAATACACACCTGTAATCAATATTTGCTTTTTCACGCAATGCTGATGAAAAGACCTGATTTTCATCGATACGTGAGATCGATGCTAACTTTTGAACTGGCGTTTTAGTATGCATTTCACCATCATGACATTGCGGTATTGATAAACACTCATCGCATAACAGCTTTAACTTCTTATTATTAACAACATTATAGATGTATGAAGCAATGTTCCATTAAACTTGAGTAGTTGTTAAAATTAATTTGATTCAACTGAACATCATTAGTGAAATGAGCTTGTAATACTTCAATTGTTAATTAATTCAACGAACACGCAAACTGCATTCAAATGTAATTTGCAAGTAACTTACAGCACCACAGCTACAGTAAACCGTTAACTTCCTCCCATTATGATGTCTACACAACGTAAGATCTAAACAGCCACTTCCAATCTAAATATATATAT